ACGCGGTGATGTATACGTCGTACACGACGTGGCCGCCAGCCACGAGTGACACGGGGACGCCCCTGTAGGTGCACCACCACACCGCCTCACGAGGCGGAGGGTGGTGGAGGGGAGGGGTAAACCAAAAAAAAAAAAAAAAAAAAAACGCAGGCCTGCACGGGATGCCCCAGGCCCCACGTAACTGGGATGATCCAGCCCTCGGCGGTGAGGCGGCCATCGAGGGTGGCCGCGCCCCACCAGCCGAACGTGCGGGCGCCCCAGCTCAGCTCCCACCTGGGCGCCCAGGTAAGCGAGCCCGCGACGGGCTCGAGGTAGATCTCGAGCTGCAGCGGCATAGGCCGCCTAAATTTTTAATCCTCCCTCGATCCTGATCGGTCCTCCGTCCTCATCCTCCTCCGTGCCTCCTCCGTCCCACGCGCCTCCGCCGCGCGCCGAGCGCCGCTGACCCCCGCGGCGCGCCCTCGAGCCACGTGGGCTCGGCGCCGCGCGGCAGCGCGCGAGGCGCCGTCCTTCTCCTCCTCCTTTTCCTCTTCCTCCTCCCTCCTCCTCCTCCTCCTCCTCCTCCCCCCTTCCCCTCCTTCTCTTTCTGTTCTCTTAAGTTCCTTCCTTCCCTCCCTTTTTTTTTGTGGTACCGCGACTTTCGCCTGGTCGCCAGCCCAGAAAGGATTAACGCGCTTGTTGGCCAGCTCGCGGTGCGTATACACACACACACCGCGTGCTGGCCAACAAGCATACACACATATACACACCGCGTGCTGGCCACTGGTGTGTATACACACATATATGTATACATATACATACACGCACGTACGTGAGACCCGCGGGGGTACTAAGAATAGTGCCAGGAGCCGCGCGAATGCTGGCTTGCTCATCTCCACGCCATCCCGACACATATAAAGTAGCGCCCTCGACCCTCGTATAGTCGTATATAACCAAAATTCAGGACAACTTCAAAGAACCAACAAAATCACAACAATCATAACAAATCATTACAAATCGGCGGTCCTGATTTTTTCAGGACTCTATCATGTCTGGGACGTCGTCGAATCCTGGGAAGCGCCTCCTGGTCGCCACGGCGGTCGGCCGCGCGAGTTTGACGCGGCCCCGAAGTTTCCGAGACGGGCCCAGAGTGCACCGAGAGGGTCCCAGAAGGCTCCGAGGCAAACGAAAAGGTCTCCAAGACAACTCCACAGGGGCCGGAACCGGGCCCAGACGGGCCAAGACGACTGACAGAAGGGCCCAAGAGGGCGAACGCGCGAAAGACGACTCTGCACCTTCCGCCGAAAAGGCCGCAGGAGAATCCAGGAGGGCCCCGAGAGGTCGAAAGAAACTCCGAAAACCCAAACATGAGTTTCCAGCGCTTCCACAACCAGCACCCCCCCCCCCAGGTGTCGGAATGTAGATTCCCAGGGGGCCCCCGAGAAGCTTCGGCGACATCTCAACGAACCTCGAAGAAGCCTCGGAACCACAATCCAGACACGGCGGCGGCATGGGCCGAAGGCCAATAGAAGTCTGACGTGCGGACTGGCGCCGCGCCGCCGCATGGCGATTGGCTCGCTTATCTCAATCCTGCACAGAATGCGAAATCTGCATGGCCTCTCTGGTGGAGTCCGCCGCCGCGCCGACGAAATATTCAAATGATGATGCGTGTTGGAATCCGCTGCGGAGCCGCAGGCACCGAAGAGAGCGTGAAGCTATGTTTCGCATGTTCCCACCCGCACTTTGTACTCTACGTCAGGGCATCCAACATTTACCCGGGGATCACAGATGTACTTGCCCTGGGAATCTCTCAAAGAACAGGCGCGCCCCGCCCGAAATCAGGGTTTCCGAACGTGGCTAAACAACCATTCCAACATGATTTCGACACGTTGGCCGTCGCTCGCACGAGTCTGGGGTGGATCTTTGACCCGTCCAGCCAGGCCCGCCTGCGCGATGTCCAACGGCGCGGAACACGGGAGGCCGAAGATGAAACAACGAATCCCGTCCCAGGAAGCCGAGAACACACCCCAGGAGCTCGGGGGCGCTCTTGGGGCGCAAGTGTACTATTTGCACTCCGCCGGGATACCCCACTGAAGGTTCCCCAGCGAGCCCGAACGGTTTCTGAAAAAGGTTACCCCTGCTCCTCCTCCTCCTGCTGCTCCTCCACCTGCTCCTTGTTCGCCTGCCATTTCCCCTCTCTCGTCTTCTTCCCCATCGCATTCAAGCGGACTCTGCCCACCGGGTGGCCAAACACATGGTCCGAGACCTTCCTGGCGCCCTCTCCCAAGGTTTGACCTCACGGGCACTCTTGAAAAGGAGAGGCGCGGCGGAAATTCGCCGCAAGCGTCTCGGAGAGCACGCGCGGAAGAAAGCTGCCGTCGTTGTCGCACGTGTCTTCCCAGCCCCGCTTCCGGCGCTCGGTGACAGCACGGCCGGCGTAGAATTCGAAAAACCCTGTATTCATCCCGCTGGTACTGCGGATCCGCCACCTGGCGCAGCTGCTGGCCCACAGGCGTCAGGTGGAAGCGCTGTGCATTGTCTTCGCGCTCCCTTGCGCGCGCACCACACGTGCCGCAAAGTAGGAACTCGGCAGTTCCACCAGGAGCCGACGACCAGCTGCAGCATCAGCGCTCCCAGGCGGCAGCCATTGCAGCTCGGCGGGGCAGCGCCGCTGCGAATCGCGCCCCGCCACGGGCCCCGCTCGGGCCCGCGGCGGCTGGGAGGAGGAGGAGGAGGAGGAGGAGGAGGAGGAGGAGGAGGAGGAGAGGGAGGAGGAGGAAGAGGAGGAGGAGGAGGAGGAGGAGGAGGAGGAGGAGGAGGAGGAGGAGGAGGAGGAGGAGGAGAGGAGGAGGGGGGAGGAGCAGGAGGAGGAGGAGGAGCTGGAGGTGGAGGAGGGAGGAGGACGCGGCGCACCGTGCGCCGCTGCGAAGCCTCCCCCAGCCCTCGGGCCGAAGGGGGGTGCGGCCCGCACCCCGTGTAACATACGGGGGCCGCCAGCTCAGCCGAGCTTGCATGTGGCTAGAGAAGGTCGGACGCCCCTCAGCTCGCGAGCAAAGGATGGGCGTCCGTCGCAAAGGAGTTTGTGGAGGACCAGATCGGCGCCCACCTGAGGTTGACGGACTGATGGGCTACGGCGCGCCCTGCGGCGGCGCGCCGCAGAGCCCTCACTGAAAGGGTTCGCTGAAAGGTGGAGGAGGAGGAGGAGGAGGAGGAGGACGAGGAGGAGGCGGCGCCAGGGCAAGACCTCCCCGGACTCTGCCGAGGCCAATCGGAACCTGCTCGGGGGGGGCCTGCCGAGGCCGGCCGGGACCGCCTCGGGAGGGGCGGCGTGCGCCCGCCTTGAAGCCTCGCCACGTTGGACAGCCAGCATGGGCACGGGAACATCAGAATAAAACAAAAAAACACGAAAATAACAAATACATAACAAGCAAAACAACGACAATAAAAAACGGGGATAAAGACGGAAACAAATACATAAAAATGGGCAGGATACCCGTCCATCAGCAGACAATTGTCTAAGAACGACTGCGGCCGCACTTGGGCAGGCCGCCTTCTGACTACGCCAGACTGACAGCATCGGCGGCCACGCCGACCACGAGCCCCGCTCAAAATGGATAGGCGCTGCTGTCGGTCTTCGTATCCGTTCTTTCCGTACCGCAGGACCTAGGACAGAAAAATATCCTTCAAGAACATGGGACCCTCCGCCGGCTAGACTGAAGCTCGTTCGAAGGTACCCTCCCCCAGGATGCACAAGAACACCCAACAACCACGAAGAGCATTAGGATACCCCCCCCGAGCCGACCTCGATCTCGTACGTCGGTCCGACTGTACCCACATCGACCGCCCCTTCCCTCCCGCCTTCTCCACCCGGACCCCACGCGCTCCGCTGCCCTCGCGGCTCGCCTCTGAGCCTCTCCGGGGCCACGACCTCGACGATCAGCCGCAGGAAGAAGTCCTGCGGCCCCCGTGGCGCAGAGGCATCGGGAGGGGGCGCCGTCTCTGCGGTCGACCCCCTGCTCGAGAGTGGAGACGCCAGATGCCTGGGATTAGGGGAGCAAACAGTGACATAAACATAAAAAGTCGGAGGTCCGCGCGGATTTCTCGGATCGGCGCTAGAACCCCCCTGCCTGGCGCGCGGAGCGCGCCAGGGGCGGCGCCGGAGGCGCCGCCGGGGGGGCCCAGCGCCGATCCAAGAAATCCGCGCGAACCTCCGAGTTTTCATGTTCATGCCACTTTTTGCTCCCCTAATTCCCAGGCGTCTGGCGCCTCCACTCTCGAGCAGGGGCTCGACCGCAGAGACGGCGCCCCCTCTCCCGATGCCTCTGCACCGCCTCGCGGGGCGCGAGGGCGAGGGGCGGGGCGCCCGAGGCGCGTGGGCGGCCCGCGCGATAGGGCGGCGCGCGAGGGCGCGGGGCGCGGGGGGGCGCCCCGCGGGGGGCCTCCCCGCGCAGAGGTGCCTCGCGCGAGGCGCGGAGGGGGCCCCCGCGCGGGGGGCCCCCGCGGGGGCCTCGGGAGGGGCCAGACCCTCGGGCCTGCAGGGCAGTTTCAAAGACATTGGATTTTTAGAAATATCGGATTTGTCATACATGATTAATGTGTGAATAAATGTATGCATGAACTCATCGTTGTTTTTAATACTAAATCCCTGCATTTTTAATACACGATCCGCACGCGGAGCATGTATTGAAAACGGCACTGTGCGCTTTACATCTCTTCACGAGGGGGGGTCGCTTGGACCCGGGCATCGGGACCCTTCCGCAGATCGATCGGGCCATCGAAGAGTGCCGCGGGCAGATGGGGCCCTGGGGCGCTGGTCGCGAGTGTCCACGATGTGCACCGTTCGCGTGGCCGGATCTCCGGGAGCGTCACCTCAGCGTGAAGCACCCCAGTGAGGCGTCGCAGGGGCCACGATTCAAGCCCCGGCATGCGAACAGACCTGCACGCTGGGCATTCCAGGGTGGGCCCACGAGCCCTCGACACACGAACTCGGCGGCGGGGCCGCGGCAGATGTCGTAACCTCCCCGTTCCCCAGTCCTCCCCTTGTCGCGTAGGGGATCGACTACAGAGTTGATTGACCCCAAAAACTTCTTTGTTCGTCGAGCCCATATAAAAAATGCAACGTCTTTGTTTGAGATTCGTCGAGGAACTTAATTTTCGGGTAAAGCAATTCTGTAGTCGATCCCCTGCAGTGGAGGCTAGTCCACATGACACCTTCCACAAGAAACCCAACCCTGAGACCCCAGGACGTCCACCGATGCTTGGCGTGGGAACGTCGCGATTCCACAGCAGAACCA